TGAGAAAAGACTTGATCTTAATCCTGAGGGTCTCAAAAAAGTGATTGGTGACTGGAGAGTTCTTCCAGCTTTGCAGCTCAGCCCTTCTCAAAACATCAGGCCAACAAATGGTGCATTTTCTCAGTGAAGAGTGTGCCACTGCAGGGAACAAGCTGGACAGGGGCCTGGCTTCTGTTCATTAGTCACACACATGCTGTTATCTCTGACTTCTTCCACTTCTTTTAGACATTTGTAGCAGATTTAGACATTTAGTGATGCAGAACATACTCTGTGCACCCAGGACAACTATCCTCAGCCAGAATATTTAGGGAAAATGCAACGTTCCCCCCCTTTTTTTAAGGGTACAAAATGGAAGAACAGAACTTGAGTAGATAAGAAAAATTAAACTAAATTGTCCCTGCTCACACTGTGCCTTAACAGCACTCCTGAACCAGAGCACTGCCACACTGAGCCTACAAAAACAGCACTGCCCAGGATCTATAATAAATCAATGATTTACTGAGCTCTATCAATGAGTTCTCACATGTTGGCAAATGGGTCAACTGTCTCATGTTATACCTTACAGTAGCAGCTCTCACCAAAGTTATCCTAAATGTGAAAATAGGTTTAAAAACGGCCAGTTTGGGAACTACTGCTTTACAGAAATGCACCCGTGATCCATCTCTTACCATGGCAATTTTGAAGCCCATTCCTAGCTGCCCCAGCAGGTTGTCCTTGGGTATCCGACAGTCCTCAAATATCAGGTTGGCAGTGGAAGAGGCTCGGATGCCCAGCTTGTCTTCCTTCTTCCCCAGGGACAGCCCCGCAGTTGGCATAGGAACAAGGAATGCACTAATGCCCTGCAAGAGGACCCAGACTCTTAGGAATGATATTGAGTTTTCACTTACCTGGTTGTCAACAGGCTTCCTTCCCATTTTTTTTTTTTCCCACAGGAGACGTGTGTCTGAGTAACAAGAAGGAATGGAAGGCACAAAGAACAACAGAACCAGCACACATCAAACCCCCTCCTCCCCGCTGTGCAACATCTGCACAGCTCCAAACACTCTACATGGTCCTCAGAACCCTTTCAGAATGATTCTCCCTTCACTTCCAGCCCTTTTTTCCCAACCGACCCACTGCTCACACCTTGTGCTTCAGGGATTTATCTGTAGTGGCAAACACCACGGAGGCCGAGGCGTCCCAGGCGTTGGTGATCCAGGCCTTGGTGCCATTCAGCACCCACTCGTCACCATCCAGACGTGCCACTGTGGATGCTGCACCCGCATCACTGCCGTTCCCTAAGCAAGGCAAAAAACATTCAGGCAATCAGTAGCAGTGATCTGCAATCGGTGCAAAACCACCACCTGCCCACACCCCTGCTGCCAGCTCACTGCAGTGCTGTCACCCCTGTCTCTCCCATAGGGGACCCAAACAGAAAGGAGAAAGGCCAGTACGTCAAAGATGCACCCATCTCTAAGGTTTTGCTCACGTAACAGGGATGAAAGTTTTCAGCACAGCCCATGGGGTAGCAGGTAGTAAGTACCTTGGGCACCAGGACTTCACTTGAACATTTGAATGGAATTGCTACAAACCACCTTTCTGCAAACTGTTACAGTCCGACAGACCTGAAATCCACTCTAAATCTGATTAAGGAAGTTACCCTATGTTCCCTGCAACAGGAATGCTAACTGTAACATTACCTGGTTCACTTAGAGCAAAACATCCTATTTTGTCCCCGCTGGTGAAGGGAGAAATCCACTTGTGCTTCTGTTCCTCAGAACCATACTTGAGTATTGGCCCTAAATACAGAGACTTTAAGAATTGAGAGCTGAGTTAGCACCTCCTCAAGGTACAATCGATTAACACCCAGAACACCAGCGCTCTCCAGAGCACTGTAATTCACAACAGGAACCCATTTCTCACATACACCCCTCTCCAACAGCCACCCCGTTCTCAGACTCGGCTCCACGCCTGTCCCTCACGCACAGCCTTGAGACACTCACATTATTGACGCTGGCAATGACGCCCGTGGACGCACAGCCCCTGCTGATCTCCTCCAAGGCAATGGAATAGGCCAGGTAGTCGAGGCCAGCTCCTTTGAACTGCTCTGGCACTTCCACAGCCAACAGCCCCAGGCTACCCATCTTCTTCACCTGCACGTGGGAAACGCGGAAGTAAGATTCTCTGCACCAGCAAACACATGCAGACACACAAAGTCAGGTCACAGCAGGGCTACACACGGAGGAACAATGTGTGTAACTCCTGTTGAAATGGGAATCTGGCTGCACAAACTGCTAAGTGTGGCTACATGACTTCACTGAGAGCTACACACGGTCACTGCTGGCTTGGATGAGCTCTTGCTCATTTCAGGAGCTGTCTTCAGTTCCAGGAAAGGAGGGAGCCTTTTAAAGGTGAAATATGGTGCTACAGCCCCACCAGGATTTTCTCCACTTCTCACCACTTCTCATTTCTCTTGTCAGCTTGAAATCATTAGAACTCTATCTTTGAGACTGCTGTGCTTCACCCCACAACTGCACCACGGAAGAACGTTATGAACTGAAAGACCCACACAGCAGTTTGCAAAAAGGTGATTTTTCGTTCCCACTTAAGCCAGTTCTTGCTTTCCAAAAAAATGTGTTCAACACATTCCAAATTATTCCAACCCTAAATTCCTCAGCTGGACCCTGGCCTCATAACGGGAAGCTCTTCAGAGCACACATCATCTCACACTGCATGTCTTAATAGTATCTAAAAATATATGAAAGGAAAAACAAGCTTTCCTCTGTTTTTACATTTTAAATGCAACGTCAAATTTAGCCCAATCTTTCAGTGAAGTTAAATGCATTGCCAGGCTGTGTATGCTTTCACAGAACCTGTGAGGAATTGTAAAACAAGTATTTTCCCTTCTGCATGGACAGCCAGAACATTTGTCCACCATATCAAAGGCAGAGGATGAACAAAGGATAGCGGTTCATTCTATGTAAGTTGCTTTATCTTTATTCAGGCCTTCCAGAGCCTGAAAGGGGCCCACATAAAAGTTGGGGAGGGATGTTTATAAGGGCAGGTAGGGACAGGGTAAAGGGAAATGGTTTAAAACTGGAAAAGAGCACATTTAAACTAGAAAGTAGGAAGAAATTCTTTACTGTGAGGGTGGTGAGACTCTGGAACAATGAGGTTGTGAATGCCCCTCCCTGGAAGCAATAAAGGCCAGGCTGGATGGGGTTTTGAGCAACCTGGCCTGCTGGGAGGTGTCTCTGCGTATAGCAGGGGGGTGGAACTGGATTATCTTAAAGGTCCCTTCCAACCCAAACCATTCTGTGATTCGATAATGTTAATAAATACTGTTTACACTTCCAATTTTCTCCAACACATTCAAATTCAACAGCATATGTCTTGTACGTGAATGAGTGAATTCACCTGCTCAACATGACACTAATCTGCTGTACTGATTTCCAAGTGAGGAGTCAGAGGTCTATGTGGAATCTTAACAGACCACATATAACAGACACAGCACCCACCAGATGCTATCACCTCCTACCTCCTGACCGTTCTGCTCCCACAGAGGAGCTGCTCGGAGAACTGACAATTCAGTGGTGCTAACGCTGGAGAACACGAGCAGCTGAGGAGCGCAGAACGCACGTTGCAGCTTCCACACTCAGACAGCTCTCCTAGAAGCAGACCTAAACCTCAGCCCGCTGCCGAGCCAGCAGAACGAAACCCACGGAACGTTTCTTGGTACGAAGGTCAGAGGATGCTCCGTGCCAAAAAAGCCCAAGCAGCGGCTTCCTTCCCACGGTCAGAAAGGCGCCCACCGCAGGGCAGCGCGCACCTGCTCGGCCGGGAAGCGGTGCTCCTTGTCCAGCTGAGCCGCGAGCGGCATCAGCTCCTTCTCGGCGAAGTCCCGGCACGTCTGGCGCAGGATCTGGTGCGTCTCCGGCAGCTCCACCGTCTGGTACACCGTGTGCAGCCGGCGGAGGGACCCCAGGGTCCGCGCTGAGGGAGGGCAGAGCCGTGAGGCGCCGCGTCCCTTCGTCCCTCCCCCCCCCCGGACCCCTGGACCCGCGCTGAAGGCTGCGCTGCCATGGGACGCGGCCTCAGGCCCTGAAGGGCACCGGGGCGCCGTGGACCGCCCTCCCGCTCGGGCCGCGGCCGCTCCCGATCCCCACACGCAGCCCCTCGGATCCTCCCGGTAGCCGCGGCGGAGCGAGGCCGGGCTCCGCGCCCTCACCCCTGGGCAGCCCTCCGCAGCGGGTCACGAGAAACGCCAACGCCGCCGCCGCCATGGCCCCGCCTGAGGGAGCGCGAGGAGCAGCACTGCGCATGCGCAAGTCATCAGGCGGGAACGGCGCGAGACTACTCGAGGTCACGCCCCTTCCCAGCCCCTCAGCCCCGCCCCCAGCGCCGTACGCCGCCGTACGAAATCGGGAGGTTCCTTTATTCCACGCGGGGCGGCAGCAGCGCCACTGCCACGCGAGTCCAAACCGCCGCCGCGCCGCCTCGCCGCAGGGGGGCGCTGCTGAGCGCGGCGAGGCGCTCGTCCCAACCCTCCGCTACGGGAGGCACCGAGCACCAGAGGGCAGCGCGGCACGGGGGCACCGCGGAGGAAGACGCCGCTCAGAGAGGGCGGAGGACGGGGACAAGACGGACGTCAGCAGGAGCAGCCCGTGTGGCCGTGGGACGGCTGTCGGGAGTCCGCAGCCCAGGAGCGCGCAGCGAGGCCGGTCTTCACAGGGCAACACTGGAGAGGTTCGGTGTGGGCGCGGCGCTGCTCCCCGTGCTGCTGTAGAAGTGATGCTGGTCTCTGTGCTGCTGGAGGATCGCTGTTGGCCCCTGTGCTGTTATCACTGAGCACGCTACCACCCCAGCTCTTCTCCCAGCTCTGCTGTGTGACCTTACACACACACTGTGTCTGCTGGGACAGCACTCAGCTCACAAATCAGGTCCCATCCTCTCCCCCCATCTCCCCTGCGAGCAGCTCTGATCCATCCCTACAGCACCACATCACACCAAAATGAAGGATGATGCTCCATAGAATCACGTTTACCAGACACCATCCCTGCCACGAGGATGAGGTTGGAAATCGCTGACTTTGTGGTTACAATCAAGTCTTTTTAATGCTGGGGTGCCTTCTTTGAGGGACTTTTTTCCTGCAGCATGTTTGTGGGCAAAGGCCTTCTAATTTGGCCAAACAGATATCTACAGGAGCTGAGGAGTGCCAGTACTGCCTGCACAACCCCCAGCTTTCCTTTGGTCTTCCTTTACTTATTGCTGAATAGATAATACATTTATAAATGGAAAAGCATTGCCTCAATGCTTTTTCCTCATCCCTGCTGGCTGAGGTAATGACTGCTTCAGACAGAAATCCCCTTTCCTACGGGCCCTGAACTCACTCACACCCAGCAGTGCTCTCTGCTTCTCAGAGCACCAGTCAGATGGCAGCCAGTGCCCTGTGAACACCGGACCTGCACAGCTGTGTTGTCCCCTGGCTCGGTCCTCACTGCTCCTCTGGCAATGGTCTGTCTCCATTTTAAGTATCTTTACTCAGTGATATAGAAAACAGAAGAGAATCGTCACATTCGTAAGAAAAGCAGGAGGTTGCTTCATACAGAAAGGTAAAAGGAATGTTAAAAGGCACCTGGATTAATACTACATATAAATTCACCTCAATATGCTACAACGTCCTGGAAACACCCGGCAGCCTCTTCAGACCTGACCCTGAGTATCTCACAATGCTCCAGGATGGAAAACACCCTCCCAGGCTGCTCTGCCTGGTTGCAAGCACCGCCCATTCCTGCAGCACAACTGAATTTCCCCTTGCCAGCACAGCACGGGGCCATCTGAAGGCAGTCACTGCAAGAGGCAGCTTGAGCTCCACCTCATGAGCAGCTTTGCTAATTCTGAAACAACTAATGAGATTGCCCCAGTGCCCATGGAGATGCTGGAAGGGATCGAATGGAGCAGAACTGCCCTTCATCTTTCAGCCACACACACCTCGCCCCTCTGCATTCCCGAGACATCTGTTGTGGTTGCTCATGATTAATACTCCACCCGAACAAGTCGTTTGTTGTGGTTAATCGTAATTAAAATCCTTCCCAAGAGCTGGAGATTCTTTCAGGACTGCCACCACACATACTCTCACTGCTTACCTCGTCACCCGCCAATCCTCTGCACCAAACCTACATCGTTAATCTGCAAGGTTAAGGCAGTGGCTTCCTATTGCTATCTACGCATTAAAAGGCTGTGATTGCCCACCTCATTTAATCCTGCTGAGGCAATAATCTACACTGAATCATACTGTATCTGCTGAGGAGTTGGTTCTCAGCTCTCTAGGTGAACAAGCAGAACTAACACTAGCCGAAGTCTCCAGCCCAGACACAACTTAGCTCCCACTTGCAGCAGAGGTGGCTGATCAGCTCAGGGAGGGGATGCAAACAATCCTCATCTTGAGCCAGCAAAATACACAGGAAAGGGTTTTCCCAGTTGAGGTTCTGCTGGACGCCAGCACGGCTGCTGGGAGGATGGGGTCTCCACTTCCCAGGGCATGGTGCTATTTCCTATTGCCAGATCCCAAAGCGCTGCTGCAAAAGACACCCTTTGGTCTGGCAGAAACTACCTCAGCAGAAGAACATCTTGAAACATAAATAAGCAACTAAGGATACAAAGCAGTGATAGGATCTCAAACAATTAAGAATCATCATATTAATTCTCACAGTTTGGTCATTAAGAATCCCACTCTGTAACACTGAGTAATCTGACCAGGGAAGGTTTCAGCTGCTAGTACCTCAACTGAAAGAAAGCAAGTGAGTTGGTGACAGCACCATCTCTCCTTCCAGCACCTCTGACAGTCAGGTTTAAAACATTATGATGTATACAGAGATTGAAGCCTAGGAAGCTTTGCTCCCTACATGTTTTTCAAGTGATTTTTCCACATTCTCCCTTCTTCCTCTACACCTCACCAGACTGAAATCTCCCCTCCACCCCAGCTAGGCTGACAATGTGCTGTCAGTTCAAAACCAGTCCATTCTGTAGTAAAAGCCAAAAATCCTACACAAAGGGAAGCAGTAGAAATGAGAAATGATAAATACACTGAGATTAACTTCAGCTCCAAGGTCGACCCTTGAGCTCCAAAATTCAGCAATTTGCTTGAATAAGCTCAAACAGAAATGCTATTGGAACAACTAAATGATCAACCTGGATAAGGTCCCTTTTTTCTCCTATTGCGTACCTCCAGCGATATCTCTGGTAAAACACAGACCAAACCATTCCCAAGAGCAGCTCAAATACCTGGAGGGGGAAGAGAAGATTCCTGCACAACTCAGAAGCTGAATTAGTCTCTTATTTTATCTTTCCCACTGGAGAATACTGGAATGCACCCTAAAAGCTATCTCACCCATGCTACAAACTAAGCCACTAGGCACCAAAGAGATGATCTATCCAACTGAAGAAGAGATCTGCTTTTCAGATGTCACTGGCTACCTCAAGGCAGCAAATTTTCCTGCTAAGAAATAGCTTACCCAAATAATTTGACCTCTTGGAAGAGAGTAGTCACCCAACAGGTGAAACATCGGGAGCACTAGAAGTGCAACCTAAGCTATAAAAATTGTAACAGCAATCATTTTTAAACAGTGCCTCTGATCCATAACCTAACCAGGGTACCAAAAGGCATCCGGAAATGGAGAATGACAGAGGCTGGATATGTTATGGGTGTGGGATAGTGAAGCGTTGCAGGAAGATTTCCTTTACTTTTGCGAGCTGTCTTCTTTGCTTCATGTGCTCAGCCTCATGCAAGAAGAAAAGGTTTGACAGGAAGCCTTGTTGCATGAGAGAGCAAGTCCAGTCCAGTCCTGGACATCTGGAATGGTTAATGGCAGCACAGCTTCCAGCAGCCATATCATGATTACTGTCCTCCATTGTAAGCATAATCGGCCTTGTTGTGCATTATCAACTTGTTGTCCACAAAGTAAAAGCTGTCTGAGCGGGTCTCGTATGGGTTTTCAACCATCAGACGGACTGTGAAAGAGAAAGCTCAATTACATTTAGAAGCCTGTCACACTCTGCTGGGCAGTGCAGTCAGAACAAAAAAGGACACTCAGTGGGATGCACCAGGCTGATGCTCTGCCCTATCCAAGAGAAGCAAACAGATCGGCTGGGCACGCATTAAAAGCTCTGGCATGCCCTACCTATTCCTCCTATTCACAGGGCACTGTCAAAAGCAAACAGAGGTGGAGCAATCTCACATAAGACACAGAAACAGTCAGAGCCACCACTAGAGCACAGCAGAAATCATTGTCAGAAAGCAGAGAGGCTGCAACCTGTAAATAAAAGAAAGCGGCTGCACTCTCCACTGGTGTACATGTGAGGTACAAACCCTGCACTCAGGCAGCCACAGAAGTGCCCACGTGCTCTGCTCAATCCACCCCCAGGGCAAACATACCCTGCGCAATGCATATTTGCAGAGATCTTGGTAGGCTCAAAAACACACCTCTCAAGAGAAAAACCAGTTCTGCTTCAAAGCTAGAGGCTCAAGACCTAAAAAGCAAGTGCTGAAAACAGATGTGTGACTGCTAAGAGAACCCTTTTCCAGGGTTTTGTTATCTTCTGCACTGCACTGTTAGGCACTGGGGATGACAGCCCCATCACTGGGCAGCTCTTCTTGCAGCCTGTGACTTGACAATGCAGGCTGCCTTAGGCTTTCATTTCTAAGATGGATAATCTGCAGCACAAGTCTGTGACTCAGGATTAAGTGCATCTTAAATCAGCTTAATTCCATCCCTCCATGGCTGTCACAATTTTTTGCACAAGTAGAAAGAGAGAGAGAAAAAATGAGCACACACACACACAGCTTGCTGCAGAAAGGAAATACTTACTGAGATCTTCTGAGAGCTGAGGGAACTCGTAGATGTGCTCACATGTGTTCCTGCTACTGGGGATGCAGAAGCCAAAATCAAAGTCAAAGTTCTTCAGCAAGCGATCTCGGAAGTAATGCCTCTCAATCATTCGGAAGTTTGACACTGGCTTTTCTCCCACTGTAAACTCCACTCTGTAAGAAAAAAGTAGGAAAAAACAGGTAAGAAAGCCTTCTCTTCCTACTGCAAAACACAGAGCCTAGGACCCGAAACTGCACAAGAACCCAATAGACCGTTCCAGAAAAATACTTTACACTGTTAGTGTACAGTTGAGTTCTCTCAAGTCCTTGATTCTAGCTATAAGCTGCTCAGTGGCACATCTGATTTTCCCCTCAGATTTCTGTGAACACATACTCACGTTGCACCAACAGTCCGAAGACGAAGAAATGCTGGGGTGAACTGGTAACGAACAAAGCGGCCTGCACTGCTGTCCAGTTCGCTGCTGTCATCTTCATCCTCGTTGTCTTGCTCTAGAAAATGCAGCAGCACTGAATTATTCTGCCAACAGCACACGTGTAAGGTAATACTGGCTGGTGGACAGGACAAGCCTACAATTAGTTGGGCACGGAATGAGAAGGAACTGGTCACACAGTCATACCAGCACTAAGAAATAAAGAGAAAAACTGATAACAGCCAGCCCAGCCTCAGTGGCCCTGGTGCCACAACCACCTTCAGCCTCACCAGATATCCAAGAAAGAAGACCTGCCACTAACAAGGCAAGTTCTGCAGCTGGCAGTATACCCCTATCGCGCTATATTCACATTTTTATGGCATAACCTGGAAGTTTTCCATCAAAGGTAAACTCAGCCCCGTGCTCTGGGAAGGACTCAGTCCCCAGGATGCTACAAGAGCCATCAGCTGTGCACAGCCCTGCCCCGCAGCCCAGCGCCGCACACCTGCAGCAGATGGCTTGGCGATTTCGAACAGCACCGTCCCCGTCTCCAGGTCTCGGATCTTGAACCTGGTGAAGTCGATGTTATAAATGTTATCCTCGGGTTTGCACAAATAGTCTGGAAGAAAACACGGAGGAACGTTTCAGAAGATTTCGGAGCGACTACAAAGGGACTCGTTACTATTTCTGACCATCCCCGGCCCCGTCAGATGCGAGAGGAAGGCACGAAAGCACACCGCGGGTGTGCAGAGCGACAAGGGGAAGGGTGGGGACAGGAAAGCGGAGCGCGGCGTCCCGCGGAGGGGAAGAAAAAAAAAGAAACCACCCAACTTTCCGCAAGCGGCAGCAGAGGAACAGGCAGCGCCCGGCGGGCTGCACGACCCCAGCGCGGCGGCACCGGGCAGCGCGCAGCGCACAGCGCACGGAGCCCAGCGCCCGCCGCGGCCTCCCGGACCTCCCGCCCCGCACCGCCCCGCACTCACTCTCCGTCACCCGGCACAGCCCCAGGACGTGCTCGGGCCGGACGGTCTCCAGCTCCAGCAGTTCGGATTCGGTCCACGGCGCTCCGCTCCGCGGGGCTGCGTCCGCCGACCCGCGTCGCCCCCGCAAACGGCTCAGGGCCCCCCCGCTCCCCGGCGGCGGCTTCTTGTCGGGTCCCGCCGCCGCCCGCGCCCTGGAGCCGCTCATCGCCCCGCCGCCGCCGCCAAGATGGCCGCCGCCTCCCGCCGTAGCTATGGGAGCGGGGGCGGCGCCGCGCGGGTCAGAGGGCGCGGGCGTTGCCGAGCGACGGCGGCGGGGACGGACGCGAGGCGGCCCCCGAGCCCCGGCCCCGAGAACAGAGCGACCACCGCGGCACAGCCACAATAGAACTCCGTTTATTTGCCTTCCGCGCGCTGCCGGTCGAAGCCGCCGGGCGGTGGATTTTAGAACATCCCCTCCGCCCGACGCCGTGGGGAAATGCAAAAATAAAGCAGCTACCGCGTTCCAAAAATAAGACAGGCCGCCCTCAGCTCCGCAAAGCCCCCGCGATCACAAACACACGTCTGTGCTTTTCACCCAGGGCCCAACCAGTAAAACGAGCCGCGGTAACACAGCGACCCTCAGCGCCAGCGGGGCAGCTCCAGCACCGCCTCCAACCCCAGCGCGATGCTCTTGGGGCAAGAAAGCCCCGAGCCCTCGAAACACTCATCTCCGATGTCACCATCGGGTTTGCAGCTGTTTGGCTGCAGCACGGAGCAGCACGGTGCGACAGGCACGGCCCCCTCCATGCGCTGGGCGCAGGGGGCACAGCTCGCCCTCCTCTGCCTCCCCCCCCCCCCCACCCAGCACAGCGCTGCACTTCGCTCCTCGCCTTCATCCCTCCCTCACACAACCTCTCCAGCACAGACCTCTGACGTTTGCAAAAGATCGTTCCCATTTTCTACTCGGCCAGCGCTGTTTGCTACAGGGGAGGAAAGCACTTCTGTCATTTATTATTATTATTATTATTTAATATATTTTTTTTATTTTTGTATTTTTAAATAAAGCACTTTTTGGGAAAAAAAAAAAAAATAATAATAATCAGAACCTATCGAAGAACCTGCAGCAGTCCCACTGCTCAGCCTGGGGACAGCACCGCCTCACCCCTCCCCCTCCCACACCTACCCCCCAATCTCCAAAAATAGTATTTAATATACAGCAATAAACTCTGAGCAAGCCAGAGTCCCGGAAGACATGGACCTGCTTTCAGCTCTCCCGTGCCAGCACCACGGGATGGAGCCCATTGGGACCAAGCAGAACACACACGTGCCCCAGCCCAGCATGAAGCAGGAGCTGCACAGGAGGCCTGTTGTACACAACCACGTTCCTGAGCCCTGGCAGCTCCAGCCCAGTATTGTGGCCGTGCCATCGAGAGTACTGTGGGACCAGCTGGAGAGGACAGACTGGTGGAACCAGGCTGACATAAAAAAAAAAAAAAAAAAAGCATCCTTGAATTGTATTAGACTTTGGCATTTGTTGTGGAGATGCAGAAGTGCCGGTAGGTAAATGAGCTCAGTGCTGGCCCAGCTCCCATTTCTCTTGGATTCTCAGCAAGGATATTTCCCTCCCTATCACGAGTGCAGACATCTCTCTCCCACACTGAAACACCAGAGCCTGAAACACTCGGTGCTTTGCAGCTGCTCAGAATCTGGCTCACACTGAGGGCTGTAGCTGCTCTGCTGGTCATCTCCCTCCTGCTGCTGTTTCCCATCAACAAAGGGCCTGCTCAGCCAGGCTTCCAACACCAAGAGATCCTGGCTGTTGCCACCTCACTTAAATGCAAAGGAAGACCAAGGGACACATATGGTCCTCTGCTCCCTGGGGCAGGGGAAGCCCTCAGCGGGTGAGCCCAGGGAGCAGGAGGATCCCAGCCAAGCTCTGCAGGCAGAAGCCTTGAGCACCAAAGGATTACCAGGACACAGCTGCAACTCGCTCTGCTCTGAGCTGTGCAGACACGCAGGCACCAGACTGTCTAGAAGCTCTGCATCCCACCTCAGGTGATTCCTGGGGCAGACAAGACCTGGAAGAGCTCTTCCAGTTCTTCTGTCCCCTGCTACGCTTTTTTCCCCCCATTGACTTCGAGGGCTGGAACCAAAGATTCTCACTCACAGTTCTGTGATTCAGCTGTGACCTCCAGAGCTGGATCAAGGGACAGTGAGAC